GCTGGTTGCAAACCGTCCCCCCCCCCCTCCCTTCCGCCTCAAATCGAGCAAACCAGCTTCTATCAACTACGTACCCAACTTTGCGAATAAGGCAGCTTTGCAGCACCACGACTGATCTGGGTGTTTTTCTGTTGCAGTGGGCTTCGAGCCCAACGCCACCATGGCCACGGCGCACCACATGCTGCTCTACGGCTGCTCCGAGCCGGGCAGCGCCAAGCCCGTGTGGTGAGTGTACGGCAAGGGGAAGTACTTCACTCAATAAGAAACCGGGGAAAAAAATGAAGGAAAACTTAAGAAATAAATCAGGAAAAAAAATCAAAAGAAAACAGAAAAATCGGTGTATAGTACGCCGCCTGTGCCTGTCCCCGTCCGTCTGGCAGGGGCTGGGTAGGCCTGCCCGTGGCGCAGGGCTGCGCGCCGGGCCCAGGGTGTGGCCTACCCCGAGCTCTGCAGGGGCTCCGGGGCTCCTGGGCTCCTCGCTCGCCGTGCGGATCCCTCCTCCTAAACTTTCGTCCTTTTGTTGTCCACCAGGAACTGCGGGGAGATGGCGGCCGCCTCGGACGAGGCCGGGTACGAGGCCTCCAGCCCGTGCAAGCAGGGGACAGGGTCCGAGGTGAGTTAAACGACATGATGTACCACCAGGAGGTCCCTCGGGCCGGCCGTGTTGTGACTGACAGACTCTTTTGCGCAGATCGTGTACGCCTGGGCGCGAGACGCACCGACACTGAGCCTGCCCGAGGACGTGGGCTTCAAGGTGGGCGGCGACTCAGACATCAAGTACCTCGTGCTGCAGGTCCACTACGCGCACATCGACAAGTTCAAGGGTGAGTGTCTAGTCGGATGAGTCGAGTCGATGTCGAACGTGTTATTGCTTTCCGGTTCGTCCCCGTCGGCACGGTATGCTCACCGCGCTGGTTGTTGTGCTTGCAGACGGCTCCACCGACGACTCCGGCATCTTCCTCCACTACACCCAGCGGCCGTGAGTATAGCACGCCACATTTTCACCGTCGTTTTCTTATTTCCATTTTCAAATTTCCCCGCGCGCATGTTTGACACACCCTGGTTGTTCCTGGCGCAGGCTGCCCCGCCTGGCCGGCGTCGTGCTGCTGGGCACGGGCGGCCGCATCGCCCCCCACGCCGAGGAGCACATGGAGACGTCGTGCGAGATGCGCGAGCACAAAGTGGTGCACCCGTTCGCCTACCGCACGCACACGCACGCGCTGGGCAAGGTGGTGTCCGGGTACCGGGTGCGCTCCGACCGGCACGGCGAGGACCACTGGACGCTGCTGGGGAAGCGCGACCCACTCACGCCGCAGATGTTCTACCCGGTGCTCAACAACGTCACCATCCAGTACGGCGACAAGCTGGCCGCCCGCTGCACCATGGAGAGCACGAGGGACGACTACACCATGATCGGGTGAGTGTTGTGTGGCCGTTTAGCCGTGTGGTTTTAGCTAGCCAAATTTTAGTTGGCCAAATTTTAGCTACCCAAACTGTAGCTAGCCAAATTTTAGCTAACTAAAGTTTAGCTAGCCAAATTTTAGCTAACCAAACTTTAGCTAGCCAAATTTTTAGCTAGATAGGTACATTTTTGTAACATAGCTAAACGGTGAGCCGTTCGTATTTAATTTTCTTTTTTTATTTATTTTTTTTCAACTTTTGAAGGGCCACCAACAAGGACGAGATGTGCAACTTCTACCTGATGTACTGGGTGGAGGGCACCAAGCCGCTCGACGTCAAGTACTGCTTCACGGAAGGCCCGCCCCGGTACCACTGGGACTCGGCCCACTTCAACCACATCCCGGACGAGGAGGCCTCGGCGATATAGGAGCACAACTATGGGGGAGGGAATGAATGGGGTTGTGGGATACAAGGAAAAAGGAAAAAGGAAAAAAAGGGGGAGAATAGTGGGTGAATGTCGTTTTGAATGAGTGTGTGTTGATATGTTATTTAACCAGTCATTTCTGGGTGGGGTGGAAAGGAACCCGCCAAAAGTGCATGTCTACATACAACGCCCATATCAATTATCAGAAAATTCATGAGAGGGATTTACGTGTGTTTAGTGAGGAAAATGCATCGTGGAAATTGTCAAGATGCAATACTAATTGTAAGATAGCATCCAATTGTTTTTCATCATTTTTCTTTGTTTTTGTTTTTACTTCCCAGTACTTTAAAAACAAGAACTGTCATCTTATGAGATGAAGACTTGGCAAAAAATGAATGGGAAGTCATTTTTATGCTTTTAAAAGTCATTTCTTCCACTGATTTTAAAACCAAACCGACATTGTTAGTCATTGATTTATTAATAAGCTTAAGCTAATGTTGTTGTTTTTCTTCAAAACTTTTAAAAAACAGAGATATACTAAAATAAATATTTATTCTTTCATGTGCCATCCATTCCCTTTAATTCAGAGCATTGTGAAGTATAAATTATTATTAATTACGAAGAAAGTAGAAATCATTGGAAGTCATTCTAACAAAACAATGTCCTCCAGGAAATTTCTTTGAGCCAGCTGTTTTACAGTAATTCCACATATAATTCTTTTTTGTTAAATCCTTGATCTCTCAAATGAAAGTAGGACTGATAGTTGAGGATTCTTTTTGTGTACTTACAAAATATATCTGAGGAATGTGCATATGCTCTGAGTGTAACTAGAAGAACACCCATGGGGGGGTGCCCGTAACAGTTACCTCTTGTCTGTCGCTTTTTCTGTGCTGTTCTAAGGAACAGTGGCAGCTTTCCTTAATTTCTGTGATCTTTCTTATTGGTAAGACTGGTTAGTCATGATGTGATTTTAAGAGATACTTTACTGATTGGATAATGCAGGTCATTACAATTAAATAAGTGCAATTACTAAAAAGTCAAAGCAAGTCTCCCTCTTCCAAATTGCCTTGTGAGCATTTTCTCAATTATCTGATCCAGTGTTGGATCACTAGAAAACTAAAGTCAACTAGAGTTTGACAAAACAGTTTTGATTATAAAGCTTTGCTTTGGAGTTGCTGGTTTTGCACATATCTATGTATTATTTTTACTTAACTCCTTTGGAAGTTACTTTACAACCTGACCATTGATGGGCGCTGGAAAATATTTGAATGTTGATTGCACATTTCCCTGTTTCACTGGTCAACACAGATCTGTTCTGTGTACTGCACATCTTGTTTTTCTGATGTTTCAGAAGAGTCTTTTGGTTAAACTTATAATTTTAAAGACATTAAAGGACATAAGAAAAATAATATTCAACTGTGTTTTCAGCCTGTTTATTACAGCATAAAGACTTCAATACACAACAATAACTAACTGTCTGAAAACAGAGACTACTGAGTGGGTGTTATGATTCAAAGACAACTCACAAACTATTGCTGGTCAATGCAAGGTCTCGTAGCGCCTAGATGGTAGGCAACATCTTGCCTGCCGTGCATGTGTGTACTGCGGGGTGGCCTACGCCGAGTCTTGCAGGCGCCCTGCTCTTGAACTTACTTTGCCGAATCTATCTGATAAATACGGACGTATTTTCTAGACGTCCTACAACAGAAACAGAACGCACTGCACGCGGCGGACGCATTGCATCTCACACTTCACCGCATCTCAAATCAAATACCCCACTTCGCATCTTGCATCGCACGCAACGCATCACGCACCATAAAATCGCACCACGCACCGGCATCGCATCGGTATCGCATAATGAACCGCGTAAAACCACGTAGCCCATCGCATAAACGCATGATCCACTCTGAAAACGCAAAACTGGGTATCTTCCAGGGGTAGGGGAGGGTTTATGCGGTTGCTCCATCGGGAAGCTGAGAGCGCGACCGCCAGCTCCACACAGTTGCTGGGCGGGGGTTAGCCTAGCTGGCCTAGCCTACCCAGCACGTGGCAGGTCAACCCACCGGGCAGCAAACCCGCCCGCTCATGCAGTACACTATGACTACGAAAGTGCGCGGCTTGAGTCAGCCACCTGGTACACACCCGCCGAACACGAAGGAAAAGTATGATGGGAAAGAATGATTTTCGTGCCAAAACCTGTCACATTTGTTTACACCTAAACTAAACCTAAGTTTCACAAATCGGCACAAAACGCAAGCGTTGGGTCCGGTGGTGTCCTTTGACGCGATTTCAGTGCGGCGGCGAGACTTTACGAGTTTAGTTACTCTTTCTTGTTCCGGCCCTGCCCGTAGGCCTTGTTGTAGAAGTCTTTGAACAGAGCGACCATGAAGGCGCACTGGACGATGATGCCGAAGGAGAAGGGGCGGATGACGTCGCAGTCGGGGCGGAGCAGGGAGACCAGCTCGTGGGCGCCGATCAGGCCGAACTGCACGAACTGGATCAGCGTGATGTACTTCTTCCACTGCGCCGACTTGGCGTCGGGGTTGAGGAGGCTGTAGAAGTAGTAGCTGTACATGATGGTGTGGACGATGAGGTTCACGAAGCCCAGG